TACATGGGTGACTGCATACTGTCAACAGCTACCAGAAAACCCCTCACATCAATCGTTGGGCTTTTTCGGACGTAAACCAAAGATTTCTGGAGCCTTCCAAACTATATACAGCGTGCCCACGCATTTGGAGGACGTCATGTGCACCGAACGCCCATGCCGCAATATCGATTAGTCGTTAATAAAACACAGCTTTTTAAACTGAAAACAGCACATACGAACCTGATATTCACATTTACAGGGGTAGAAATCTAAGTCATCGATTTCGAGTTGTTCCATACAAAGCGGACACTGAAACAGTATAATGAGATCAGCGTAGAAAATCCTGCAGTAAAAACTATTTTAGTTTAGTAAGTAATCAGAAACAAACTTACCTCCTTATCGGATTGCTCATCGCTACTGCACGACATCTTCACAGCGCAAACTCTATCAACAGAACCGTTGATAATACTGAAATTCACACACAACAATCTACCGTTTCACACTGCAACTGACCGTTAAATAAATCGAAACAGTGGGCTAACAGAATGCTATCCATTAGATACACTATCGATTTCTACACAGAATTGTAAGCAAAACTAAACAGAGCTGGAATATGGCTGGTGCGCATTGGGATAACCGTGGGAAGGAATGGAATGCTGGCAGCTGTCACTAAGGTCTGAAAGACCAACAAGAGTACACAACCGATTGACTGGAATATCGAATCGGTCGAAACTGATAGATTCCGGGTGACATGCATCTGAGCAACGTAATGCGAATAGACCCGAATAGGAAACCGCACCCTCCATATTTGCTTAAATATCAAACGCACGAGACACCACCCGTTATCGATTACCACTATCGACTGACCGGCTGGTGCTCGGGCGGGGCGGTGCTAACGTTACCGTACGCTAAATAGCTTTCTTTGCAGGTCCACATAAGCTTAATCCTTCGTGGTCCTTTAAAGATTTGAAGTTCAACCTGAATCCAAACCTTCTGCTTTCGGCTTTCTATTTCCTGTTTGCACAACTATTAACGCAGTTGATTAATTTGCATTATCAGTGATTATTCGTTAGGGTTGTGGTGAGACAAGTGCTCTACGGCGTTCACATCGCCTTGCGTCGAAGATGAGCTCGGAAATGTCTGACTCCACCGAGTTGGCCGAAATGCCTCTGGAAATGATTCGTGAAATGAAGAGAAAAGCATGCGAAAAGCTCTCGTCGCTTATCCGGAGCATATCATCCGCTTCATCCCCGAAGAAGTGAGTCAGCTTCTTTCATGTAATTTCTGACTTACTTTTTAGGGTTCGTAATTCAAATGGCCACCTAACAATGAGTTTCTAATCCGCTTAAAAATATAGTGCCGTTGACTCATGTTTCCAAATTCCCCGTAATTTGTAGTGTCTGCTGTTTTGGTTTGTAATATTTTGAGGGAAACCGAGCATTATGCGAAGGAATGCTAAGCGTCT